AGAAATGCAACTGATTTTTGTAGATTGATTTTGTACCCTGCAACTTTGCTGTAGTTGTAGATTGTTTCTAATAGTTTTCCAACAGATTCTTTAGGGTTTTCTATATATACAATCATGTCATCTGCAAATAGTGAGAGTTTCACTTCTTCGTTACCTATTTGGATTCCTTTTATTCCTTTTTCTTGCCCAAGGCCACTTTTAAATAAAAAGTGAGCCAGGGATTCCCACCCAGGTCTACCTCTTACACCTGTCTGTGTTCTTTTCACTCTCTAAGAGGTTTTCAAATTACAGGTCACAATGGTGATAGTGAACTCAGTTTGGTGGGTTCACCAGCATTTAAAAATAAATAAATAAAAAGAACAGAATGCAATGGGATAGCATAATTAAAAAATAGAGTGTTATCACATCTGTCATATGTGTGTCTGTTGTATGTGTTTTTTTTTCCAACACCACCAAGCAGTTAACTCAATTCTGACACTATCTATCTGGAGATAGTATCAGATCCCACAGGGTAAGGGCTCAGTCCTATATGACTGCCCCTCCCCTCTTCCGACGCCAAGCCAATCCAAGTCCAGGTTGTCACTGGTGCTTCTGAGCAACAGACCAGCTATAGATCAGAGGTTCCCATGACCCCTTTCTTGGGTTCAATTAATTTGCTAGAACAGCCCACAGAACTCAGAGAAACATTTATTTACTAGATTACCAGTTTATTATAAAAGGATATAATTCAGAAACAGCCAGATGGAAAAGATGCGTAGCGTAAGGTATGTGGGAAGGGGCGTGGAGCTTCCATGCTCTCGGAACAAGCCACTCTTCTCCAATCTCCATGAGTTCACCAACCCAGAAGCTCTCTTTCTGGGTTTTTATGGAGGCTTCATTACATAGGCATGATTGATTAAACCATTGGCCATTGGTGACTGAACTCAATCTCCAGACTCTCTCCCCTCCCTGGAAGTGGGGTTAAGAGGGGACTGAAAGTTCCAACCCTCTAATTACATGGTTGCTTCCCCTGGCAACCAGCCTCCATCCTTAGGTGCTTTACAAAAGTTATGGCATTAACATAAACTCAGGGGGCCGGCCCGGTGGCGCAAGCGGTTAAGTGTGCGCGCTCCGCTGCAGCGGCCCGGGGTTCACCAGTTCGGATCCCAGGTGCGCACCAATGCACCGCTTGTCAAGCCATACTGTGACGGCGTCCCATATAAAGTAGAGGAAGATGGGCACGGATGTTAGCCCAGGGCCAGTCTTCCTCAGCAGCAAAAAAGAGGAGGATTGGCATTGGATGTTAGCTCAGGGCTGGTCCTCCTCAAAAAAAAAAAATAAATAAAAAAAAATAAACTCAGGAGTGGTTGAAAGGCGTTTGTTATAAATATTGAGCCACCTTTATCATGCTTATCACTTAGGAAATTCCAAGGGTTTTAGGAGCTCTGTGCCAGAAATGGGACAAAAGCCAAATATATATTTCTTATTATAAATCATAATATGTTTCCATGTGTTATGATGTAAATGTTTTTCTTGTGGGTTGTGGTCAGACTTTGAAAGCCACTGCACTAGAACACAGTTAATCTGCCTAAACCTTAGCAAAACGTTGGTATGCAGTATAGTTAACTACCTCACTGCAGGTTCTTATTAAAGCAGTCCCCAAATCTGCTTTGGATCCCTCCCATCATATCCTCAACATTACCAGTGTTGTATTCCATCAAACTTGATTGGCAGAGGACTCTCCCTCTACCCTGATACCAGTTGTCTCATTATCGAACCAAAAGTGGGTTCACCTCCTGGCAGAGTTAAAATCAGACTCTCAACCAGAAGTAGTTGTCACACAAAGTAGAATTTATTTGCAGCAAATAGGAGACCATGTGGAATCGTTACCAAAGTTCTGGCTGTCTCTGAACAAAGGGAAGCAGGGGCCTTTTATTTTGGCTGGGGAATGAATATTCAAAAGGGAGAGATGAGCATTCGCTTGCGCAGGCTCATTTGGAAAACATGCTTCCACATACACGGCAGGTTATGGTAATAAGGCCTAAGCTCCTCCTGGAGAGGAGATCTTAGCATTAAAAATGAGGCAGAGGTCATAGGCCTCGCTCTTGTGGTGGGGCTTGGTCTGGTTCAGGGTGGTTGTTGATTGCATCTCTCAGTTAAATGCTTCTGAACCCACCCTTGAGTTCTTTGGGGGCAATTAGTGAGTGCCAGTCTGACATGTAGTCACAGGAACATGGGTTGACACAACGAAGTCCATGCCCAGGCATTTCAGCAAGCCCAGGAGGGCCCCTCATGCATGACAAAGTCTGTAAATTAGAGAGACGTCATCATCTGGTGTAAAAGATGACAAAGTCCATACCTACATCTTGAATCATTGTTATTTTTCCATTACTAAGTTGTCATGAAATAAGAGACTTTACAATCCACCACACTAATAATAGATTAATAGAGGTGGAAAGAGCACGATTCATTTTATAAGCAGTAGCAAGTTTTACAGTGAGAGGAAGTTTTGTTAGTAACAGTGGTTATTCTTTATGAAGGCCCTATATTAATATTGAGGATCCAAAGATGAATAAGGCTGGAGCTCAAAGTCAAGTGGGAGTTGCAGGCACAGTAACGTCACAGAGGAGGAACTAGAAGGGGATGTAATGTAACATTAGCTGCCATAGTAATTAGTTCAACATTATATAGAAAATTTAAAGCAGGAGCTTTGGTAGTGTGGTGAAAATAACTAGATTGGTTTGAATCCAGGGATTGGTATTTATTTCTGCATATTGAGTGAAATGGAAAATATATTCTACTCTCCGGTCAAGCCTATGTAATAGAGAGAATGAAAAATTTAGATTCTTATTGAAATGCTATCCTATTTTAAAAGAAAAAAAGATGAACTTAGAATGTAATATTGTCCTTGTATTTTAGAGCTGAATTAGCAAGACTAGTATCCCAAATGCTCCTTTATTTGTTAGCTTGCTTTCTGGATATGATACCAGATTTGGGAAGACATCTATGAAAAAGAACAAAGATCCATAATTTTCTTTCATCCACTAAACATTTTTGAATTGCTGTCTCTGTGGTCAGCATTGTTTCTAATACTTACCTTGACTGCTTTCTGTTAATCCAGGGAGAGGACGCTCTTCTCACACTGTCAACAACTAGCTGAGCAGCCTGTCACTCTCACCTATTTTTCAAGGAGGTTTCCCATCTGTTCCTCAGTCTGGGGAAAGCTTATCCTTCAACTTCTAGCTCTACTTTACAAGGAATTTTTATGTTTACTCATTAAATTTCTCTTAACAATACTTTTGTAAGAGAGCCCTTTCTCAATCTATACTCTCTTTTGTGAGAATGTAAAATAACTCATTTAAACAGAACCTGGCAGACAGGAAGACCTCAAATGCTGGCTAATTATCTACTTGCTCATTATCAGTTAATACCTTTATGATATTCTCATTGGTAGCAATATGTGATACAAATTCGCTTCCTTGTTAAAACAGTATTTTCTTGAAAGCAAACTGAGTCTTACCTCTTTTTAAGAATTAAATGTCTAGTATTATTCTGAAAAGGGCCACAGCCCTGTGTGGTACATGGTGCCACGGGATCCATGTTTTAGGGAAGGAAATGGAGGCAGAGAGTTTCAGTGAGCTTGCCCAAGGTCTTACTGCTGGCACATGGTAGAGCAGGGCTTCTGACCACCAGCTGGCTTCAAGCCTGCACTGGTGACCACTCTGCACTGCCTAAGGAACTGGCTGCTTTAAAACGTGGCGTGATAGAACGGACTTGTGATCACCAGCATGTGAAAGTGGAGCCCAGGCTTATCTCACCTCTGCCTCTCTTTCTGGCCTTGGGTCACAACTTCTCCAGACCTTGATTCTTACCCCTCACCGCCACTCCCCCAAAAAAATGGAGATATTGAGTCAAATGATCTCTTTGCTACCCCTTTTAGCTCAAATTCTGAGTCTTTTTTGTGAATCAGCAGGGAAGGGGGAGGAGTACAAGGTTAATAGCCCTTCATTGTTAAGGAACAAGGATACATGCTTTTGCGAATGAGTTTTCGATGTTCCTAAAGGAAGCCTGAAGGGCATCAGATCAACAGAGCAGTTAGGGAAAACCCAAGAAAGAAAGAGAAAGATGAGAAACTGGATATGTTGCTCATCTAGAAAATTAAAAACAGAGCTAGCCCTGATGGCCTAGTGGTTAAAGTTCTGCTTGGGTTCAGTTCCCGGACGTAGAAGCACACCACTTGTCTGTCAGTAGCCATGCTGTGGCAGCAACTCACATAAAAGAAATAGAAAGACCTACAACTAGAATATACAACTATGTACTGTGGCTTTGGGGAGGGGAAAAAGAAAAAAAGAGATTGGCAACAGATAGTAGCTCGGGACGAATTTTTCCAAGCAAAAAAAAAAAAAACCACTTTAGAAAAAAAGGTAGAGGGCCGGCCCCATGGCTTAGCGGTTAAGTGCGCGTGCTCAGCTACCGGTGGCCTGGGTTTGGATCCCGGGC